CGCCTCAGGGCGCGAAACGCTGGTGGTGCCCGCGGTGCTGCCGCGTTCAGCGGGTGGGGGGTAGCTGGCCCGCCCGAGCCGGGGCTGAGGGAAGCAGCCACACGCACAGAGGGCCCGAAAGGAGGGAAGTGGAAGGAAGCGGAAGGCGCTTGGGGCCGCGCCTGTCTGCGGAGCTGTCAGCTAGAGGCGGCGGCGAGCCGGGGCTGAGGGAAGCAGCCACACGCACAGAGGGCCCGAAAGGAGGGAAGTGGAAGGAAGCGGAAGGCGCTTGGGGCCGCGCCTGTCTGCGGAGCTGTCAGCTAGAGGCGGCGGCTGGACCCGGCCCTCAGTGCTTCTTGTTTGTAGCCGTAGAGAAGCGGGCCTAGAAGGGGCCTCCTGTTCTCCTGAGGCAGAAACAGCCCTGGTCAAAGCAACCCTGCACACCAATCCTCTGTGTACTCCTGGGGCAGGGGGCAGCCTTGAGCCACAGGGGGAAAAGAGCATAGATAATGAGGGCTGGAAAGGACCTCAGGAGGTGGTCAAGTGCAGCCCCCTGCTCCAAGCAGGACCATCCCCAGCTAGATCATTCCTGCCAAGGCTTTGTCTAACCAATAACCACCAAAGATGGAGAGTCCATTATCTCTGAGTAACCCATTCCAGTGCTTCACTTCCCTAGTGAGAAAGTTTTTCCTAATATCCAACCTAAACTTCCCTTGCTGCAACTGGAGACTGTTGCTCCTTATCCTGTCATTTCCTTCCACTGAGACACTACTGCTTTGCTCCATGCTCACAGCCCTAGAAACATTAGGGGTATTTTCCAGATGCTTATGCTGTCCTAACATCTGTGTTCCCAATGCGCCTCCAGCGCCTAGCATCCCCTTTGCCTTGGAGGCTGTGTAAACACACACGAAGTGTCCCAATTTTTCTGTGGGAAGCCGAGAAGAGCTTCCACCCTGATTCTGGGAGCCTCTCTTTAAAATGCAGTTAGTAATACAGACAGACTCTACCCATTCACAGTAATGCATCTGTTACCTCAACGTAAGGTGTACGACACTCAGCACCTGGTTGTTGATCACTTACTACCTGCCCTTTGCCATGTCTGTTTTGCTTTGGGGAAGTAGGGCTAAGCCTGAAAGCTAACTAATGAGCTGCTGCTGGTTGGAAGGCTGGGGCCCTGCTGAAGAACAGCCTGCTAAACAGCCTCCTTTTTCAGGGCCCTGCTGAAATGTATTGGATATTTCTGTTATCTACAACTGTGGAATAGCTTGTGGTGACAGTCTCATGGAAGCTAAGTCGGTGTTGGGCGTTTACAGGTCAAACAGAATCTTAACATGGAGCCAAAATACTGTGGCATGTCCGCGATGAGCACAGGTCTAATGTATTCACCAGAAGAAATGCTGTTTTCTAGGCTTCCTCTTGAATTCTGCAGGTTCTGCGTGGACCTAAAATGAAGATACCTTTGTATCAACCTTTGAACAACCTTTGTTGTTTCAGAGTGCTTTATAGATATGGTACACATTTGTTTCTGAGAACAAATGAAGCTGTGGAAATGATCTTAATGTACTTCAGTTTTGGAAGCCCATAATTCACTGTTTTTTGAGTTGCTGTTACTCAAATGCACTCCACCCTTGAAGGATAATTTCAAATAGACTTGAGTAGTGTCTTCTGGGCCTTGAAAGATGTACTTGAGAGGGAGTGGGAAAGAGAAGGATGAGAAGATGCCTGTTAGGTGGCGGTACAAAAATAATTTTAGTGTACATGTTGATCATTGAAATTAGGGAGCAGTAAGAACTACATATGAAAAATCCCGTAGCCATTAGGTGTTTCATGGATGAATGGTAAACGAATTTCCTTATAAGAAACCACAGGATTAAAGCGGGATAATAGTGGAAATGTAGTCAATGCAATTTATGTATTGATGTAAAGCTTAAAAGTGTATGGTTAACACTTTTTTCACATTCCTCTGAAAAGCAGCCCATGGCAAATATTAGACAAAAAAATCCTAAAGTGTTTAAAAACAACAACCTAGAATATAAATGTTACCAGCCCATGATGGGTGAACATGATTGCTTCATACAGCATCCAACAAGGATGGAAACATTCAAATAAATACAATAAAAGTTGCCTCAGGTTGTGTAGTGTGTGCATATGCATCTATTTACATTCCTGAATTTCCATCCACCAACTTATTAATAAACAAGTATTAGTAGATACTTTATAGTTTCCACATTTCCCTCCCACTATTCTGACTGTGTGAGTTGGATTTGCAATAGAAACGTTTTTTAAGTTACATACTTTATTGCAAAAGATCATGTTTGTTGGGAAACTAATGTTCAATTATTAATTGTTTATATTTCATGAAATTTCTTCTACAATTTTTCTATTTCAGGTCTGTATTTGAAGCGTTTTAGCCATGACTAAGAGAGATACAGAGGAGCTGATAGAAATAGAAATTGATGGAACCGAGAAACAGGAGTGCACAGAAGAAAGGTATGTATTTTAAATTAGTGCTCACTCTGAGTCATAAGGCTTCAAGTAGCTGCTGCTATTTGAAATCAGTTTGTCTTGTTGCCGTTTTCAGTGGGGAGATGCAGTGCTTCAGACCTGGCAAAGGAAGGTTAGACAGCTGTCACTTGAACTTGTTTGTTATCCAGTGCAGATAGGAAACCAAAAAATAGCAGATGTAATAGTGTTAGCATGACCTGGAGTATCCTGTTTTTGGTATGTGTTACTGCAACTTCTAATCCCTCTTGCCACATTGCAGAAATGTCTTATCCATTAGCACGTTCACTTCAGCTTGCTTAACCTTTTCCCCTAACACCTTTTGCTTTGAGGTAAAACCTTCCTCACTGTGCAACAGGAAATGCATTTTGTTCAATTATAATTGTTTCTCTTGTTTCTCTGCCATTTTGTTCCTAGTTCTATGCGTTTCATCTCTCCCATTCTTCACCTTGCTTTCACTTTCTTGATAACCCTGTTTGTGTTTTTTGCAAGCCCTTAAACTTCAGCGTATCCCTTTGTAACCAACATGGAAGCATCCAAGTCCAGCCCTCCCTCACTTCTCCATCAGTGCCAGTCATGCCACCCAAAAACTTCTGAATAAAGCAGAAAGGCAAGATAACTGATCCATTATATTAACAGTAGAAACAGTATTGCTTGAAACACCAGTTTGACTGGCTTCAGCTCTAAATTAGTTCTCATTTTCCCGTTCAAATCTCTTTCTGTTCGATTGCCTCAGTCTTTACTTTCAAGCATAAGTAATCATGACTTACTTTTCAAGAGCTCACCTCAGACATTAGTCCCTTTTCCTTGGAGACAATCTTATTTCTGAGCAACATGGTAGCCCCCCCTAAGTCTGAACTCCAAGTGTTTTATGTTTCTCACAAACTGAGTAAACGCTTGTATTTTTTAATGTTCCCTCTGCTTGTAAGCAGAGAAGCCAGCTCCATAAAACTATACAGGATGACCCTGTGTCAGTGTAGCCAGCCCATTTGCGCTATTGACAAAATTGAGGTCAGTTTTTCAAGATTCTGGGAGGCCAATTGCTATATACTCTTTATATAGCAATTTTGGGCCTTTTCAAGTACACACATAGTTTTGTTTATTTTTAATGTGAAAAGTTTCATCAATTACAAAATGTAGACATTGTAAAAGTGATTTTTTTTATGCCTATTCCCTACCATAGGAGTTTAGGCTTCATTCATTGACTAATGTTCCTAGGCAGGTTACTTATTTATTCTGCTGTTTCTGTTTTTCCTTTTTATATATAAAAATGGGGTTGATAGTCACGTCTTCAGTTTTTGGAAGCTGTGGTGACAATCACAATACTTACAAGTCCTGGAATACTACTACCCCCAATTCCCATTAAGCCTTTATCAGGACTGATGTCTGCCTTGCAGGCAAGAATTGACTCCTTGAAGATTTAGAGGAGAAAATCAGTAAATGAAAGACGGGATGGGCAACAGCTCACCTGCTTTGCTAGATTTGTGTAGAGGCTGTCAGCATCATTCTTACCTTTTGGGTGAACTTTCAGCCTATTATCTCTCTAGCTTATTCGTTCTTGCTGCTTTTACCTTTCTTCAGCTCACCCTCCCTTCCCTGCCACCATTTCACTGTCATACTCTGCTAAGGTCTTGTTCCTGCTTTATCTTGTTGCTGTCCCCAGTTTCCCCTGGAGGGAGGTTAGGACTTGACAAAGTTCTCCCAACTGCCATGGGGTCTTCTGGTTCCAACATTCCAGCCCTTTCCCACGTCAAGCAATTTTCCTCCTGTGTATGAACAGAGGAGAGAAGGATTTTGGTTATGGGAACAATTTTTGATACTTTAACAGTAATATCACCAGAGATCCTGGTTTTCCTTGATTTAAAAAATCCCACGTTTTCTGACTTAACACTCCCCTCCCCCCCCCCGCCAAAATTCACATTTTTCTGTGATTAAAGTGGTGAATGAGTAAAATGAAACACCACTACACGCACACACGTATCAGAAAATTGGATTTTTTCTTATCAGAGAAAACGAGGCTCCCTGAACATCATCCCCACTACCAACACCCAGAATTAATTATTTTCTGTAGTTATGCCTGTCATGCTAAAAGGACCTTCAAAACCAAATTTGATCAAACAATAGTGCAAGCATTTGGATCGTCATCAACTTATTGTTGATTACAAATGCCATGAATGTATTATTTATGGAATAGCCTGTATCTCACTTATAAAGCAACATACAAAGCAAAATAAGCAAATACAGAAAATTTATAGCAGCATATAAAGAAAAATAAGAATTTTAACTCCAACACGTTTAATGATGGCAGGTTTTTAGTGTATTATAGCTGCATAGATGAAAGCTATCTTCCAACATTCCTTCAGAATAGTTAAACAGATGATAGGAATGCAGTTTTTTTGGTTATCTGCCTGTAGTTGGATTTATTTTTAAGGCCAGTCCACAGGACTTAGACACAAAAGCCTTCTTTTCAAAATGATTTTATTTTTAATGCTTTATAATAAAAGATGATATTTTATGTTATAATTATTGTATTGTGATAAAATATATGTCTTTTACATACAATATTATAAATCAGTGGTGCTCAGACTTCTGGCCCTGAGGGCCAGATGAGGCCAGTTTATGGGCAGGTTTGGGCCTTGGGGTCCAGCACCACTCCTTTCCTGCTCTGTGTACCAGGATTGGGTCCTGGGGGGCTGGCACTTGCCTTCCCCACATCATACACTGGGTTTGTGGCCCAGCACCACCATCACCTCCTGCCTTCCATGTGGTGGGATCAGGCCCTGGGGCATGGTGCTGTCCTTGCTCAGCCCTGTGCACTGGGATCAGGCACCCAATCCAGTGTGCAGGACCCAAGACTCCCCATAGGTGTGGAAATTGGGTAGTGAGGTACCAGTGCCACTGTTCTACCACCATCACGTTTCTAGACCCTTGGGGGAGCCCTCCGGGCTCAGTGACATAGAACCAAGGGCCAGATTTGGCCCGTAGGCTGGGTATTGAGTATTCCTAATACAAAATGGTTGAGACAGGAAGGTAAGACTTTAACCATTAACTATTTAACTTCTTTGTTTTCAGTTCCTGAGCTTTGTAAGTAACATGAAAATGCAAAAAAACCTTTACTGGGTTTTGGAATAAGGCTTTTTGGCCTTTTTTCCCTTTAATATTTTTTTTCTGTTTGTGTAAATATAAAAAGTATGTTTAAAAAAAATAAAATAGGATAAATAGGTCAGCAGAGCTCTGTGTGGGAAACAGGAACTGCTGCTGTAGAGCCCGTTGTTGGATGGGCTTTGTCCCCAAAAATGGTTGTTTCCTAATATTTCCTGGCTTCCTTGAACATCTCTAGCTCTTTTATCTGATGTTCTTAAAGCAAATTGTGTAAGCATTATCTTCAGTTAAGGGGGGTGGGGGTGGAGGAAGTAAAAAAGACTATCTGCTATTGAAATGTGTATCTGTCTTTGAGGTAAGAATTCTGTTTCCACCTTTGCCACAAACTTCCTATATATGCTTAGTGAGATGCTTTAAACTATTCTGCCCACCTCCTTCAGTGACCTTGTTTGGAAAGTTTGCTTTTCCATGTTCCACCAGCTGCAGGATGCATGGTGACTTTAGGAAATGGTTATTTCTTCCAATATATGACTTCATGATTCTGTAACCTTGAGTTTTTTATGGGGAGGGTCGAAGTTAGTAACGGTTTCACTGACTGTTTTCAGAACTATTTTTAAAGTTTACTGTTTTTAACCATTGACCGCAATATTTTGCACTTCATATTTTTTTGTTGTAATTGATCAAAGGGATATGTATTATAAAAGTGGTAAAAAATTAAAAAACCCAACATTTTGTGTGATTTCCATGCCATTTTATTCAGTTATCTAAGCACTGTTCATAAGATAAAGATAGTTTTAAAAGCTGCTTAGTTACTATCTTATTTTCTTCAAATACATCTGCTTCATTCTGAGAGAGAATATATCTTGTCAGAGTATATATATGTAAATTACTCATGACTCAAACTTGTATCTCTCTTCAATCTTGGAAGATAAATTTCCTTGACCTTCTTAGTAAATCTGGCCAAAATTTTAAGCAGCATCTAAACAATGGCTTTTAACTCGCAAGTCGATTGCAGTCTTAGCTGTGAAGGGTTTATATAATCCCCAAAGACCCATTCTAAGTTTGCGGTTTGATTATAATAATTAGTGATTTAAATAAGAGAATGAGCAGCAAGATGATAAAATCTGCAGAAGATGCAAATTATATAGGTTAGTCAGAACTGGAAGAGTGGTGAACATTAAAGGAACATAATGAAACTTGGAAGTTAGGCATCTTGTTAGTAGATAAGCAAATGCATTGCAATGCACACTGGAAGGAATTCTTTAAACTGCTGTATCTCATTGCCAGTTGTATCACAAATAACCACTCAGGAAAGAGACTTGGGTGTCATTTATAAAAATATCTATTCAGTATACAGCACTGGTCACCAAAGCACAAATCATAAGAGTTTAGAGGAAACTAGATAAAATATAGCTTCATTTTCAGTCCTATAAATCAGTCGTTCTCCTTTCCATAATGTTCTGTTTCAGTAATTTTATTTGAAAAAAGAAATAGTGAGGATTTTTAGTTGAGTGCCCAAAATTGAAAGTTTTTTCTTGGCTGCCATGGATTAGACAGTTTTGAAAATATGAAGACTGATGTTTTGGAGAAGATGTTAATGGAACTGTGATATATGTATACAGAATACCACATCATGCTGAGAAGAGTGCATAGAAAACTCCTGGTTACTTTTGGTCCTGTTACACACAGACATTTAGTGAAATAGAGAAAGCATTCTGACTACTTGTCTAATCCAGTACAGGTATTCTTACGTTAAGTAAAATTTTCTCTATTTGGTAACTGGACTGTTAAAGTGATTCATGTAGGTATGTTTCTTTCCATTACACTTAATTTATACAATACTTGTTTACTGAAAGAGCAGCAGTGTTGCAGATACCTGAAGTGCAAAGGAGCAGAAATCCAGTTTATATTGATCATAACATAATTACATAATTGTCATCAGAAAAAAATGAGGAGTACTTCATTTTAAAGCATTGAGAGCAGCTTTTTTCCTACTCTTCTCAGCTTGTACATGCGACTTGTTTTGATCTTAAACTTTAAAAAAAAGTTAATTAGGTGTAGCTCTTAAACATTTTAAGAACGGATACTAAAACTATAAATGTACTCTTCCACCTGAAAAGTAGAATGCTTATTACATACACACTACTTACAAGTTACTTAGAGCTAATAGATTTTTGATAACTTAATCTGTACTAAATAATTATCAGAAAGTAGTTTTAATATTTTTAGAAGATCCTATTCTTCCTGTTCATTCATTTTTTTGCTCAGAATAAGCTAGGATTTCTTTAGAATGATTCTCAAATCACTTGGTATAAACATTTCAGAAGTTATCATTGGCTTTTGTGTAGGTTAAATTCTTAATCCTTTTTTAACTAGCTACCATTTGTATTAGTATTGAAACCAGAGCTGGCCTTAGCGGTGAACAGCCACCCAGAGTGCTGTGGTCAGGGGGGCGCCACACACACGCACACACATGCAAACACGTGTGAGCAGCCCATGCTCACAGCAACTCTCTTCCACTGTCCCAGCCAATCCCCGCTTCTGGCAGGAAGAGCAGTACCTAGCCCGCTTCCTGCCTCCATCTGCTAGGAGCAGCAGGGTACTTGCCTGGCGCACCATACTACTCAGCTTCCCCACTGGACTGCGCTCTGTGTCCCTGCCTCTGCCACAGCAGTGCTGCTGACTTGGGGGAGGGAGGAGGGGACACCAAAATAGGAGTTCCCCTAGGGCGCCATTTTCTCTGAGGCCAGCTCTGATTGAAACTCATAGTTACTGCATTTTGAAAGCTGTCTTTATGTTCATTTAGCAATTCTTATATTCTTTTGGTTTTTAAGCATTGTTGAGCAGACATACACCACAGCAGAATTTGTGAGCCAGGCTATTGACATCAATGAACCAATTGGAAATCTTAAGAAGTTGTTGGAACCAAGACTACAGTGTTCCTTGGATGCACATGAAATCTGCCTACAGGATATCCAGGTAAAGCAAAGAGGGGTTGAAAAACTGCATTTGAGAACTCTGCTTTGAGAACATTTCTGTATATTCAATCCCTTCCTTCTGCTCTGATGTTGGCTTAGAGTATAATATGTTTTATTTGGTACATAGGTTCCAGTTAGGGGTCTAATCTTGCAAATGTCTGGCTCATCGTCAGCTTGATATTGTTTAATACATGTACTCTGATTACTAATTCACTGCAAATAAAACTGGATGACTTTCAGGGTTTCTGTGAGAATTTTCTGAATGGAAGAATCATCAGGCTTTGAGGCGGGGGGGGGAAGAGGCATGATTCTGAAAATAACTACACTACCCTTCATACTATACTTAAAATCAAATAGCTTGATTGTTTCCTACAATGCCAGTGTTTCTTTGAGAGATTGTTTTCAGGCTTCCTGAATCCAGAAGTGAGAAAAGTACTTACTACAGTTTTGTTTGCTGGTATTTCTAGGCATACTTCTCAAAAATAATAATAATTTCATGACGTTCTTGTGAAGCTGAAAGTGTGATGCATAGTCATGGTTCACTGCGTAGGAAGAATGTATATTGGCATACCCATTGGGTTATTCTCTACCAGATTATTGCTGTATGTGTAAGTGGAGACACTAATACATGCTGTATTGCACTGACTGAAAGATGGGGGTTCCTGCTGCTAAAAGTGTTTTCCTTCCAGTTACTCAGCAGAGGAAATAATGGACTTTGTTTAGGCTGTGTTTATCTTATGTAGTAGATGAGCGTGCGATCACTCTGAGTTCCTTCTTTAGGTAGGCCTCACTTAAAATATTTTTGAGTTT